TTTATCTTTCTTTATCCTAGATTCGAATATTATAAAAGTATTTATTTCATATGATTTAACTCTAATAGCTAATAACTCTGCTTATAACCCGTCGCATTTTTAAACATTTTAATGAATTAACTGCATTTTCGAAAGAAACTAAAATAATTAATTAATATAATTTCTTAAATTTTTTTCTTAAAAAAAAAAAATTAATATAAAAATTTATTTATTTATTTTAATAATATTTTTCAAGGATATCATCTCTGTCAAAATACGCCAAAGCCAAAACTATTTAGGGCCCAGACGGTGAAGACTGTGTTGGAGCAAAAACAGTGTGTGGGATACCCTGGCAACACAGGATATTGTTCAACGACCTAAGAGATATAAAAAAAAAAAGAATTGAATTTCTTTTAACTATTCCAGAAATGGCTACGGCGCTTAGTATGTCATGTCCGGTATGCATGGAAATTTTTAATAATAGCGATACGATTTACAATACCAGCTGCGGCCACATATTTCATTATAATTGTATTCAAAGCTGGCGTCAACAGTAAATATTAACTACTATTAAATACCCTCGTCAATGGGAAAGTATTTAATTTACATCTATTTGGTTATTCCAGATCTGCAAATTGTCCCGTATGCCGTGTTAAGTATGCAACTATGCAAAAACTGTTTTTAAATTTCGATGAGCATGTTGTCAACACAGAAGAAAAGGTGAAAAAAATGGAGCAACAATTAAAGCAACTTTCTGTTGATAAGATGCAGCTCCAAAATTTAGTTGATCAGCAGGGCGCTAAGAAAAAGGAGCCATCCTCAAGAATTCATAGCAATATTCGAAAGCAAAAGCAACAATCATCTGATTTTCAACGTCATCCTGTCGCTTTTCAGCATATGGATGTGAACGCGACTTCCAAAAATTCTATTGATCAGACTAGGGTGTTGATAAAACGTTTTCCTAATCGTCACTTACGTTATCCGTTGATCGATTCGGTTAAAGCATTGACTTCGGCAATGGATATGAAAATATCAGCTGATGATGTACCTTACGTAGGCAGACTGCAACAGAGTTATGCGAACAACCGTTCACCGAATACGGTTTCGCTGTTAATACAATTTCGAACATTGCAATTGAAAATCTGTTTTCTCAAAAACAAATCGAAATTAAAAAATCATCCGGAATATGGCTCTGTATTTATTTATGAATACATGGACGAAGATACCTACTCATTATTTCAATATACAAAGACCAAATTGAAAGATCATGGATTTTGTAAAGTGTTTTGTCAAAACGGTCAAATAATGGCTGCAGATAGTAGAAGCGGTAGCAAACCAATCCATATAAAAAATAAAACGCAAGTGGACAATATAATTTGTCCAGAAACCGAAAACAAAAATCGAAGCTCCCCTTACATACATCATCATCGTGAAATAATGCGTTCAAATGATAGAGACGCTCCCAAACCAATCTGTAATAGACGTAGACCGGAAATGATATTTTGTGAAAATAGTCCAACGATTAGTGAAATAATTTCGCCGGAATTCGAAGGTGAAGAGGCCGGACGATGTGTTATTGCCTAAAACTCAGACATTATCGTAGACTTTTCAGTTGAGAAGAAAGAAATAAATAGTTGATCCGTTTAATGCTGCTTGGTTTTGTGTGGTTGAAAGCTTTTTTCTCCTTTTTGTTTTTTTATTGTTTAATATATTTTTAATTACAGAATTTTAACGAATTTTGAATAAAATCAATGGATGAGAATCCATTTTGATGATTTAAATTAATAATTTTAATAAAATTTGAATTTGATAGACTATATGCCAGCACCGCCAACACACTTCTGTGTTTTTTCTAGTTGTAGATTATTGCAGACCGTTACGACAATTTGTAATAGGAATCTTATAAGAAATATATTTTCCTGATCTTAGTAAGATTCTAGTTCGATTTAGCGATGTCCATTCATAAGTTGCCTTATAATTGCAACAATAAGGATAAGAAACGTGTTCAACAACGAATTGCATAGCTTAAACGCATTTAAAGTCAATTGCATTTCACATGTGCGCAAGATCCTAGAAAGCTATTACCTCAAGACAAGTAGACTTTCGTATCGTATCGGGTTATTTCAGATCGGCAAACTATCCGGTTTACGCCATTTAATATCGCATCGAATTAAGTATTTTCTCATTCTGAATATATTAGTAATTCCTCTCTTCTATTATATAATGCTCCTCGCGAACGTTTTGTTATGATGTTATTTTTTTGAATAAAGTTATTTTGGAAGGTACGCTTCGAATGTCGCGCATTTGTGGCCGTTCTTACGCACAACAATGTTTTTGTTTTTTTTGGAAAGACAAAGAAGAATTTGGCTTACCAATTGCTAAGTACATTTAATTCGACGATTTTCTATATAATAGAATGTTTCAGATGTACTGAATTTTAAATCCGTAGCCTCTTTAAATCATGCATTACTGGCAGTCCAACTTATTAGTTTACCTTCATCATTAACATCATCGAGAAACTCGCGCAAGCGGTTACGAAATCTTCAAATTAAATGGCAGTGAATTATGGATGAATGTAACTTGATGTCATGTAGATGGAGAAAACGAATTAATACATTTATCTATGTAGTTTTTATCTGGTTTTAATTTTGCGATTTGTAATTCAGATACAATATCAGTTGTCTAAAATAAAATGAAAGGAACAGGTAAATTCAACTACCGTAGTAGTCGTAATGTTGCAATCGTGTTCTAGAATTTATCAATTTTTTCCGCTATTAGCTTTCTTTCTCGCGGTGATAGCATTTTTCTTTATATTGGCAGCATTGTTTTCAATGCTCCCTTTCATAGGGATTTTTCGCTTGATAAAAGTAAACACACTATTTCGTAGGCTTTCACTATCATGTCAAATTTCATTCGTCAACTTGACTTTTAGAAAATATATTCATTGATAAGATAAAAATCAAAAAATTTTAATAGAAGCAAAGCAATTTCAAGGTGGAAAGTGTAGAAATTAATTTAATAAAATTACTCTTTTCTGGCCATATATCCCGTTTGCGTGGCGAAAAGTGGATCAAGAAAGTTAAATTTAGTTTTAAGCTTTGGTCTTATCCTGAAAAAAGCAAAATGGGTGGTAAGAGCACAAAAATTTTTTTTACTAATCTAAAGTAATTTTTTGCCTTAAATATATTTTAGAGTAATGTGTTAAGTACATTTTTTTGCCAGCCTAAGTTTGTAGAAACTTGTGGCATATTTTTGCTTTTATTTTGCTAAGAGGACAACGTATTGGTCTTAGGGCGTTTAAGTTTCGATGAGGGAAAGAAAATAACTAAAAAAGACGGTAACAGTTAAAATTAAGCGGAAGCTTACTTAATCCAATTGAACATTTAGATGTGGGTGTGGACCAACCTAAATGCTTTTACGCTCATTATAGAATGTTAAAGAATGTTAAAATTCGTTTTTTCGTCGTCCCTACGAAGCATATATATTCTTGATGGACTAGTAATAGCGTGCAACGTATTTGCGTCGGTTTCTCTGTTCTTTGGCACAGAAAGACGAAAATTAACAGCCAATATTTATGTACATTTCTAGCTGAGGGTCATTTATTACATTAAAAAAAAACGAATTTTGCCTACTACTTGGCCTGCAGTTTGCAGATTATAGACCATAACTTATAACTCATTAATCTAAAACTTGCAGTTAACGTTTATCGATTACAGTCTAGACTATAATCATAAATAGACGTGATCGTTCTAGAAACATTGCTAAATAAAATAATTTTATTTTCGATCTAAATGAAAGTTTGAGCCAAGACTTGATCCTTGTACTTCGGTCACTTCAAGCATCAGCAAAATAAAAACAACTTTTAGCTAAATGGCACGCACATTATTAAAGAAATAAATACAATTTTCATATATTGTTCTGCATGAGACAATTGGATGTCCTCAACAGCAAAAAGTTTCCGATGCTTATGGCTGACGAAGATGTGTGCAAAACTCTCGATATCCTTAATGTTGAAAGGAAAAAAAAAAAAAGACATTTGTTCACCAATTAACTTAATAATTAATTTCACAGGACTACATGGCTTTCTCAGTGTTCTTACTCATTCATTCGGGAGTTACTTGCATAACTCATACCACTGCAACCCGTCATTTTTTAACCGTACTGCTCGCGTTCAGAACAACCTACCAATAGTGATCCAGATGATGATCCAGAAGTGATCTTTCCCACGACACCTGATATCCCCATTTCCATATTGAACTTCCTCTCCATGTCTCGATTCCTGCAACTCTTCCTAATCACCATCGTGCTTGCACGTAAAGGGAATTTCCCCTGATAGGCTGCTTATAAAAAAAAAATAAAAAAATTAAATAAAGTTTAGAAGGTTATCAAGGAGATGGGGACCAATACAATTCTCTCTTACTTGTCATTTATATATTTCTTTATTTGAAACAGAAACACAATCATCAGAGTCTTTGGGGTCATCGGTCGATGGCTCTCAGGGTATCATATGCTCTTTATGTTGCGAAAATCTTACAAAGAAAGATGAAGCCTTCGTCATTACTTGTGGACATCTATTTCATTCCCAATGCATTCAAGTTTGGAGACTCCTGTCAGTAGAATTAATTCATGCGTAATTCGCAAAATATTTTCTACTTTCTGCTTGCTTTTCTTAGATATAAGAATTGTCCAAAGTGTCGCAAATCTACTCCAAAGCTGATGAAAGTCTTACCAATTTTTACCCAAAATCCAAACGAAGAGACGATATTGGACACATCAGAAGAGATGATAAAAATTTTGGAAACAGAAATTAAAGAATTAAATGAACAACTTATCGAAAGCGAAAAAAATTGTAATCTATTGAAAGATAAAAACGACGTCTTGGAAAACGAGATACGTGAACTAAAAAATCACTTGTCGCCATCTATTAAGAGAGAGAATCAAATAAAAATG